CGACACTCCACGAACAGGAGCGCACGGGTTAATTCGATTCCCAAAATCGAGAATAAACGAAGTATCTGCTGCAGTCCGTGATCCGTTGAAGCTCTCTCATGGGCTCTTCGAAGAGAAAAGTGGTCGAGGACACGACCGCAGAACCTTCGCCGAAGCACCACAGAGCCAATGGCCCTGCCATGGTTGAAGACGAACCGGTTGCGTGTGTCCATGATGTGTCCTACCCCGAGGGTTCTTTCAATCCTCTCCCTTCCACTGGAGAGAAGTTGGAACCCGCTAAGGTGTTCCCTTTCTCTCTAGACCCTTTTCAATCTGAGGCTATTGGGTGCTTGGAGAAGGGAGAATCTGTCATGGTAACTTTATCGAACCTCACACTTGTTTCCTCGGCCGTTGCTCGAGTTTATTCATTATTTTACATTCTTCTATGTGGATGCATCTTTTGAATAAGTTCAAGTGTAGGAGTAAAATAAATGTAATAATTTTCTTAGAGGAACTTGTGTTAGTTTCATTAGTAGTGATTCATCGGGAGTAGTCGCATCTAGTTGTCCTTGTAGTTTTAACTAATTAAAGAGATCATTTTTCAGAAACTAGTTACATTTCATAAACTTTGTTCCTCCTTCCAAAGTTAGAAGCTTGAATGCAGAAAATGTTTAAATGATCAGATTACTAATAATAAAGTAACATTGCCCAGTAATTCCGAATTGAGCATAATAGTAGGAGCCCCTTGGATTTCACCTCGAGGTTACTGAATCAAAATTGTTTAGAGTTTTGTAGTTGGAATATTGTATATTTGACCTGTTGGTTTTAGGCAAATTAGGAGTTCAAATCATAAATTTCGAACTTACAGAGTAACAAAGGTTAGAAGGTTACTGAATCAAAATTATTAGAGTTGTGAAGTTTTTTTATTTTTTAATTTTTAATTTTTTAATTTTTTATTTTTTAATGAAAGAAACCATTACAAAAGTGATCACATGAAACTATTCCAACTGGACAAAAGTGTAGAAAAGCTATAGTGATTAACAAAAGGGGTAACATTTAATTTAGATTTGTGAAGTTGGAATATTGGATATTGGACTTGTTCACTTTCAGGTAGAAGTAGGACTTCAAATAATAAATTTTGGACATACAGAAAGAAATAAAGTTTCAACCGTACAGAAATTTCTTTTTGTTGACAACTTAAGACTGCAGAGATGTAGTGTTGTTGTATTTACAATGATATGAATGGACATAGTGGCTTAGGACTTAACTTTCAATTGAAAATCATATCTCAGTCCTTTTTATGCCTCTCCATCTCCAGTTTGATTAATTGTCATCATATATATCATGAGTTTCTATTATGTAGAGTTCAGCGAGTGAAATAATCAATTCTTTGGCAGGTGTCTGCCCATACATCAGCTGGTAAAACTGTTGTGGCATTGTATGCAATTGCCATGTCTCTTCGGAATAAACAGCGTGTCATATATACTTCACCAATCAAGGCACTCAGCAACCAAAAATATAGGGAATTTAAAGAAGAATTCTCGGATGTTGGTTTAATGACTGGGGATGTAACAATTGAACCAAATGCATCTTGTCTGGTGTGCATGTTACTAACTCCTTACTTCATTTTATTGGATTCTAAATTTTAAATCATTGTGAAAGGGGGATTTTTTGAACTTTAGGTCATGACCACAGAGATTTGGCGTAGTATGCAGTACAAAGGATCGGAGGTAACTCGGGAAGTGGCATGGATTATTTTTGATGAAGTACATTACATGCGTGATAGGGAGCGAGGTGTTGTTTGGGAAGAGAGCATTGTCATGGCTCCAAAGAATGCTCGATTTGTCTTCCTCTCAGCAACTGTACCAAATGCAAAAGAATTTGCCGATTGGGTTGCAAAGGTCTTCTTCTCATCTTGGATAAATCTTGTTAACTGTAATTAATTGATGATGAAAAATACTTTTTAGGTCAAATACAAAAAGCTAAAATGAGAAATCTTGCTATGTTATGTTTCGGGCGTGCTGTTGCATAGTTTCTTAACTTGTCGCTGATGGAAGCCTTTTTAATATCAAATTTATATGTTCCTCTTGCTTTTTAGTTCCTATATTAATTTGGAGGGTAAAAATCGTGTATGGATGTTTTGTTGATCTGAAAATATGCTGGTTTGGTTGATTCGGATTGGTATTATTGCAGGTTCACCAACAACCATGTCATATTGTTTATACTGACTACCGACCAACACCTCTTCAACATTATATTTTCCCATCTGGAGGTGAAGGCTTATACTTGGTGGTTGATGAAAAAGGACATTTTCGTGAGGATAGTTTTCAAAAAGCTTTAAATGCACTTGTCCCCGCTAGTAATGGTGACAAGAAAAGGGAGAATGGGAAGTGGCAGAAGAGTTTGACTTTGGGCAAATCTGGTGAAGAAAGTGATATATTTAAGATGGTGAAGATGATAATTCAGCGTCAATATGATCCAGTTATACTTTTCAGCTTTAGCAAAAGAGAATGCGAATTTCTTGCAATGCAGGTAGTATGTGCTATGGTGTTCTTGTGGTTGCTTAGTTATCTCTACCGGTTGTCAGCTTGTTTATGGTCTTTGTTTGATGGAGTTCTTAGATATGGCATCATCATGCTCTAAGTTTAATGCTTTATGAAGGATCCAATATATATGACGGTAGATAAAACTTCTTATTTTATATTTTTTAAGAAAGGAAACTACTTTCATTAAAAGATGAAAACCTTCAAACGAGGGAAGATAAGATAGCCAACAAACTAGCAGAAGGATAGGAAAGAAAAAGCTTCAATTGAGTAGTTTGAAAAACATAACATAGGGGCATTTTCTTGAATTTTATCCCATGTAGAACCCCTCCCAACACCAGTTTCCACCAAGAAAACTTAACACTTTTGGAGCCTCCCGCCGAACAAATTTGGTTATATTGTTTAGGATCACACGAAGCTCTCACTCTTAGTAGTGAGTGGTCAGGAACATGTTCGTGCACTGGAATATTTTATTGGAGTGCAATGGAAGAGTTTTTAGGAAGGAGGGGCTGTGGGAGGAGGTTTGGCTTTTAGTTTATGTTTATTTAAACAATGAGACTTGCATGTTGATTATGCTGTTAAGTTTATTGAGACGGGAAATAAGGTAACTGTTTGATTTCTCAGCATGTTTTTGTTAATCATTCTATTTGGGTCATTCCTTTTGCTGGGTTATTCCGCGGCTGTCAACTTTAATGATGGTTTTCTTGTTTGTATTACAGATGGCAAAATTAGATCTAAATGGCGATGATGAAAAGGTGAACATAGAAACCATCTTTTGGAGTGCCATGGATATGCTTTCGGATGATGATAAGAAGCTTCCTCAGGCAAGTAGTTGTTCATTTTCTCAAAGCTTTGGTATAAAATTTTGAGGTTGCAATTTTGAAGTAGGGTGTGATGGGAAAACTTCCATTTCTTGAATGGTGCTCAGATGAAATTGAATTATTGCATTTTATTTTGTTGATATATATTTGTACTTATTTGATTAAGTAAACGGGGAAATCTGTAGGAAATTGAATTTTCTTGTTTTCTTTTGGTAATAAGAAGTTGGAAGATAAGTTGTACAATTAATATGAAAATTTAAACAGATGCAATGCTAGTAATAATTTCATGGTTTGTTGCCTTTTTGGTGAGTTTTTTTTTTTCTTTTACTATGTAATTTGATGACCGAAATTTAAGTTCTGTTTTCCATAATTTCATGAAAATATAGCAATCTGATCGGATTGTTTTGCTGCTCACTTTGTCACTGTCTTTGATCTTGTAATAGTTGGGCTACTGTTATTAAAAGTTCAAAACCTCACACAATTCTAAGTTGAGGGTTTATTATTTATTTATTTTTTAAGCCTAGCTATCTAGGTGCTTTAACTTATGGTTAAGTTGGGGTCAGAAAAACATTTGGATCACAGATATGATGCTAAGTTGAGGATTCACTAAATGTATTTACCTTATGGAGTTGCTGCTTAGTTGATTCTTATGGCTTGTTATCTTTAAAAATTATTTATCCTTCCTTTTTCGATTTCTTCCAAATAGGTTTCAAATATGTTGCCTCTCTTGAAGCGTGGAATAGGAGTCCACCATTCTGGCTTGCTCCCTATTTTGAAGGAGGTGATTGAGATATTATTTCAAGAAGGGCTAATTAAGGTTAGACTGAAGGCACCAACAAGAAATATATTTATTTATTTGCTGTGTGCTTGCCCTATAATCAAATTAATTGCTCTCACATAGTTCCGGGTATTGAAATTGTGTTGGGTGCCAGTTGTGATCTTGTTTTGTTAAGCATTGAGGCGAAGAGAGGTGTCTCGCCTCATTAAGTCCCATTCCTTTTGCCTTTATACCTCTATCTTAATTGTCTTCTTCCTCTTCCTCTGCATTATATTACTTATTTCATGAAATAGTTTCTTACTAAGAAAAAACGAAAAAAAAGAAAACAAAGATAAGAGATTTTGTATCCAACTACTACTGAATTAATTCTTATCATGGTATTTCTTCTTCTAACAAGATTGCATTTAGAGGGCAAAACCAACACACTAAAAAGAATTTATTGCTTTTTGTCATTGTATATTTTTAATTCCTTGGTCATTGAAACATTGTCTTTAGTGTTTGTTCGCCACAGAGACCTTCAGCATTGGTTTAAACATGCCAGCAAAAACTGTTGTCTTCTCTAATGTCCGTAAGTTTGATGGGGATAAATTCAGATGGTTATCAAGTGGAGAGTATATACAGATGAGTGGTCGAGCTGGACGGAGAGGAATTGATATACGAGGGATATGTATCCTTATGGTAGATGAGAAGCTGGAACCATCAACTGCTAAAATGATGCTCAAGGGAAATGCTGATTGCTTGAACAGGTAGCTACTCTTTGTATCACTATTGAACATGTCAGAACCGATGATATGTCTTTATTTTTTATATGTAGACTGCAGATATGGTATGTAAGGAAGTGTAGGAAGAAAAATATAGAATGCTGCAAAGTTTTCATGCTATTCTCTCGTGATGAAGTTGTTTTGATATGATTTGCAATTTGGTTGTTTGAACTTCAAAGACTGGAAACTGAAAACTTTATAAACACAAGAGTTACAAAACATGATATTTTCCGTCTCTGTAAGACAAGAAACTATGTGTACTAGTTTGGCAATCTCTTTTGTGAGCTCTTCGGGCTTGGAGTTTTTCCTCCTCCCTGTACATTTTATCAATGAAATCTTATTTTATCAAAAAGAAAAAAAAAGACAAGAAATAATGGAAACTGCAGTACCAAGGGAAGAACACCGGGAGTTTCTAGAGGAAATATGGTATGCCAGGCACATTTAATAAGTTGGTTAAATTTCGTTTTTTGATAAAAAGTTGGTTAAATCCTTTAATATGGAATTGGTAAGCAATAGCCTGGAGAATAACTTTGTTGCTAAACAGATCTATATTGGCCCTTAAGCTACCTGACTAGCCAAGATGTCATGAGATTATGTCTTTTATTTAATTGCTTTGCATACGTTGTCTGCTAGAGCATAACCATGTTTACAGCTTGTTTGATAATCTGCTCTGACATCTTGTCCTTTTTCATTCTAGTGCTTTTCAGTTGAGTTATAACATGCTCTTGAATCAAATCCGTTCTGAAGATGGCGATCCTGAAAATCTTCTGCGCAATTCCTTTTATCAGTTCCAAGCTGACCGCAACATACCTAACCTCAAGGTTAGTTTTTGTTGAGAAAGGTGGCTTAAAAATAAAGGAATTAGTTGAAACTAAACGAGTCAATAACTGAATATGGACTCGAAGATCTCTAACAAGCAATTGAGACATGTGATGGCATGATCTTGTTTATTGTTTTACAGCCTTTCAAATTTGTTGTCAATAGGCTATTTGAATACTGTTTGTAAAAGCTTTGTGGTTTTGATTTGTTGAATATGGTTGAGCATCTTTTTTTTTTCTTTCTGGTAGATACATCTCCTTCTGTATACTTTTTTTTTTGCCCAAAATCCTTTGCTGATCGACTTACTCTCTAATGATAATTCCATTATGGTTAGTTTGCTGAGAATGATACTCTAGTTATTGTATTAACTGAAAAGGAGACACTTTTCATTAATTCCTCACATCAATTAGAAATGCTGCTCTAATTGTTGTTATTGTATATCTAATGATAATTCCATTATGGTTAGTTTGCTGAGAATGATACTCTAGTTATTGTATTAACTGAAAAGGAGACACTTTTCATTAATTCCTCACATCAATTAGAAATGCTGCTCTAATTGTTATTATTGTATCTCTTTCAGTAGTAAAGGGAGTGTAGTTGCAAAAATAGTTAGAAATTAAAAAAAAAAACCAATAAGAAGAATGATATTTAGCCATGTGGAAAACATCCCATCCCATCCCTTTCTATCTTATTGGGGATCCGAGAGTTCATTCTAACCATAGGACTTGTGCCGTTACCACATAAATTCTCAGGGTTTTAGCATTTCCTTCAAAAGTTAAGATAAACCCTGAGGGTTTTAGCATTTCTTTAGTTAGACCTTATTCTTTTGGATTGAGTCCTTTCTTTGACTCATTTCTTCGGCTGCCATTTCTGTATGCCTGTCTTTTCAGTTCATTTTTGTTGACCCTTTTTTATTCTTTCATTTCTCTCAATGAAAGTTTGGTTTCTCTATTTTGGAAAAGAAAACTGCACCATATTATCTTTTGTGGAGGATCCAATAACCCCAGGAGAGATTGAACCATATTATAGTATTATATTTGATATAAAACGAGATACTGATTCTGGTTATTATTGCAGAAAGAAATGAAAAACCTTGAAGAGGAGAGGGATTCCATTGTGATTGAAGAAGAAGATAGTTTGAAGAATTATTATGATTTGCTAAAGCAGTATAAAAGTTTGAAGAAGGATATTCGTGACATTGTGTTGTCTCCTAGATACTGTCTGCCATTTTTGCAACCTGGCAGGCTTGTATCTATTGAATGCAATACTGATGATCAGACTTCTTCATCTTTCTCCATTAAGGACCAAGTTACATGGGGATTGATAATTAATTTTCAAAGGGTGAAAGGTGGTTCTGAAGGTGATGCATCGATGATATCTCTGACATGTATTCTTGCATTCAAAATTTAGCTTATTAGTCTCTGAACTTCAATTTTTGTTCCAGAGGATGCTAGCACGAAACCGGAATCTGCAAAATACACTGTGGACGTTCTTACAAGATGTGTTGTCAGTAAAGATGGCATAGGGAAAAAAATTGTTAAGATTGTTCAATTGAAAGAGCATGGAGAACCTCATGTCGTTTCCATTCCAATCTCTCAGGTATGGAGTTAGATGATCTTCTATTTTATCCACATTCTTCATGTCAACTCACAATAGAGAACTGAAGATATTATGTCTATTCGGTATGGAATTTGTGCATAAGGCTTCAACTGATATGCATGAAGTATATGTGTCAAACAGACCTATATAAAATGTAGCTAGGAAGTGCCTTCACCTGGTCATAATGATGGAAGAGATGTTAATTCCAGAATGAAAATATGTAATGAGAAAAGTTCCATTGTTAGTTTACATAATTTCATGCGTTAGCCTATTTTTTGATAATTATACACTGTACCTAGATAGGTTTAGACGAAAATGAATGGATTTATGTTATAAAACATGAGAACTGAATTGGTTAATTATGGTCTATAAGAAAAAATTTATTGCATTAACCGAAACCAAATAAACAAATCTATGCAGATTGGGTCAACCGACATATTGGGGACACTTTTTTTTTTTTTCTGGGAATATATGTGTATATATTGATACATTTAATATTTCATAGTAGATAAAAATATGTAAATTTAACATAAAAAACAAAATATCACACTTGATATCCAGTTTCTTTCGGGATCCTTTCCCTATATTTTATCATATGATTTGTATCAATGAAATGTCTGAAGCATCATTTCCTTAAAAAAGGAAAAAAGAAAAAAAAACTTGATATGTGGGGAAAAAGGAAGAATAATACATTCTGTCTTGTGACATGATTTGCTGCAGAATCATAATTCATACTGGTGATGTTAATCTGGCCAACTACTTGATACATAAATAGCTTTTTTTGTAGCCACCTGAAAAACTAATGGAGAATGGTGACATCTAATGGTTAAGAGGTTTCTCATGGGTGAAAAGTATGAGATACTTCTCAGCATACTGCAAAATATCAGCATACTGTTTTTATAGTCTTATTTGATTGCCTGCTTATCGTTGTCCTGAGAATCTTGTTTGGTCCAATCCAAATGATGGTTTGCAACTCGATGCCGTCATGTTTGGTTTTTCAAATTAAAGAAATTGGGTATGATTAGTTCTGAGTGTCTACTTAATTGTTTGCTGCATTCTTTTTCGAGGCAAATTTGCTTGCAAGTGGGCTTTATGTTGCCTACTGTCCCTCTGAACGGTATTTGCTTCAACTTCAATACTGTGAGATGTGTTCTAAATGATCTTTAAAAAAAAAAAAAAAAAATCTTGTCAGCTTCTGCCGACTACCATTTTGATTTATCTTCAATGTAACATGATGTATTTATTTCTTGTATACAAACAGATCAGTACTTTAGCTAGTATTCGGATACTCATACCCAATGATCTTTTGCCACTGGAAGCTCGAGAAAATACATTGAAGAAAATTTCTGAAGTTCTATCAAGATTTCCAAAGGGGGTGCCTCTTCTAGATGCAGAAGAAGACATGAAAGTACGTTATTCTAAGCTGAAATGTTTTTTATTGATGTGAACGAAAAAAGTATTCATTATTTTTGTATCTTTATGTTTTGGGACGTTTTACTTTGTTGTATTATGTAGAAGCTTATGTATCAGTTCAAGTATGTAATCTTTGGTAGTATTTAGGTGATTGCAGTGAATTCTATCATTTAGTTGCCTTTTTCATTCAAGGAAAACCAACCCTGATTCAGTTTGAGAGTTTGCTGGAGTAATAATCTAGCATCTATTTGCTTCTGCCATGCATTCTTTATAGAATTTAATTTTTAACTGTATTTGGTATTCAGATTCAAAGTGGTTCATACAGAAAGGCCATGCGTAGAATAGAGGCTTTGGAAAGCCTCTTTGACAAGCATGAGGTGGCAAAATCAACACTTGTTGAGCAGAAGCTTAAGGCATTACATATGAAGCAAGAGCTGACAGCTAAGATCAGGTCAATTAAGAAAACGATGCGTTCTTCTTCTGCATTGGCTTTCAAAGATGAACTGAAGGCCAGGAAGCGAGTATTGCGGAGGCTTGGGTAATTGATTTGTTTCCTTTCTATTAACATAGTATCCCTATCTTTTATCCTCCAACTGTACAAGGAAAAGGAAATGGGCTAGCAATTCTTTAGGTTGGATTGGAATGGTTTTTTTATAGTCACCAAATAGGTAAGTATTAATTAGAGTTATGATGATTAAGAAAAAGGGCCAAGTTGTGCATGTATTGTTAGTGTAAATTCCAAGTGATATCTGTTTTTATGAGAGAGTTCACCTTTTGCATCTTTAATTTATTTTGTGACTTCCTTACCGTAGGCCCTCCCCTACTGTACATATCATTTTATCAATGAAATTGTTCTTTTATAAAAAAAAAATTTTAGATGAATATGGTAATTTTTTTAAACTGTATTTTTTGCCTAGGTAATTCTAAATAGTTTCCTTTATTCTAAAACAAGGAGACGCCTTTCATTGATTTGTTTAGAATGAAATTTTAGAATTTTTTATGCAAAAAGTAGAGATCCACGTAGTTGTGGAATACCTCCCTAATTACTAGTGATCTCATATTTGATTTCAACATTCCAAAGTGCCGAGTGCATTTACATTCTTGGAATCCATTGTTTTATATGAATGGAATTCTTTGTCCATTATTGATTGTTGTATTTCAAGGAACGAAATAGCCAGATTTCTAGTTGAGATTGATTATTCAGATTTCATGACAGAATGACAATGTTACCGATTGTATTGTAGATACATTGAACTAGTTGCATTATCTTTTTTCTTTTCCTATTGCAGTTACATCACAAGTGATGATGTAGTGGAATTGAAAGGCAAGGTGGCTTGTGAAATCAGTAGTGCAAATGAATTGACTCTTTCAGAGCTCATGTTCAATGGGGTTTTCAAAGACATAAAAGTGGAGGAAGTCGTCTCTCTGCTATCTTGTTTTGTGTGGCAAGAGAAACTTCAGGATGCAGCAAAGCCTAGGGAAGAGCTTGAGTTGCTTTTCATTCAATTACAAGACACAGCTCGAAGGGTTGCTAAGGTTCAGCTTGAATGCAAGGTTAGCACAAATTCTCATGTGATCAAGTTCGTTTAGAGTGTTCTTTTGCATGCCTCTTCAAAAATGTGTTTCTAAATGAAGCACTTATTAGCTTTGAACATTTTTTTCCATCTTTTCATCTATCGATAAAAGTTTGTTTCTTATTAAATAATATATATATATATATATATATATGAGAAAATTAATGAAAGGCTTCCTTTAAAAGCCTTTTAAGTATTAATTATTTGTTTTTAGAATTGCTCAAACCACTTCAATTTAATAAAACACTTTTAATTGGTCAGTAGCATGTTTTAACACCCTTTTAAAATTTTAACCAACAAGTACCCATTTTTTACAAAGCATTTTTAGTCCTCTATAAGCACTTAAAAAGGACATTAATATATTTTTCTCATTTTTTTTGCGGAAAAAGGAAAAAGTTTATTTCATTTGATAATACAAGTTAATTTTCATTATGTAGAATCCATTTTATGAACATGTTCATTTGATAATATAAGTTAGAACAAATAAACTTCTTAAATAACTGTATGTCATCCTTGACTCTTAGGTTGAGAGAACTTATTCCCCCTAGTTTTGTGAATCCTCCTTCTTTAATGAGGTGATTTGTGCTTCTCTATATAAAAAAAGCTCTTCTTGGAAAATTATATATTGGAAAAGTTTCTTTCTTTATCGTTTTGTATGGAGAGCCGAGAGTGAGCATATTTGATAGAATAAGAGGAATGCTCGATGATATATACATGTCGAACTGCAGGTCAAGATCGATGTGGAAGGCTTTGTGGGTTCATTTAGACCAGATATAATGGAGGCTGTGTATGCTTGGGCAAAAGGATCCAAGTTCTATGAGATCATGGAAATAACACAGGTTTTTGAAGGGAGTTTGATTAGGGCAATTAGAAGACTGGAGGAAGTTCTGCAACAGCTTATACTTGCAGCAAAATCCATTGGTGAAACTGATCTTCAATCAAAGTTTGAAGAGGCTGTTTCCAAAATCAAAAGGGATATTGTCTTTGCTGCTTCTCTGTACTTGTAGTAGTTTCTTTTTCCCCCCATTTTTCATTACAATTTTTGTACAACTTCGAGTGGATATCTGTATGCGGCTCTTTGTAAAGTTTCCTGTATTTATTTGATTATTAACTTTATATTAGTGTTGTTATTATATGATGGACATTTCCTGCTGGTTGTAGCACTTATGTTTTCAAGTGTCGGGCTTTGATGATTGCGGTTTTTTGTGGCAGACTTGTTTCTTTCTTATTTTGTGAGAATTTCAATTGAGCAAAATAATAGAACCTTTAGAGGTGGAGAGATTAACAGATTTAATACTTTGTTATAAAGATTTTTTCTTATTATTTGGTCGGTGACGTCCTTTTAGATTGAAGCTCATTTCTTTATATGGATTTCTTTCATCTTTTTGTTGGGTATTTTTTTTAATTCTCTTTTTATTCATTCTTTTCAATGAAAAGTTCAGGTTCTTATTTAAAATAAATTAAATAAAACCAAAAGGCAATTGATTATTTCGAAAGTAAATTAAAAGAAGAAAAAATGGTGACATGTTCATATTTATTCTACTTGTTTTACCATTTTTTTTAAAGCTACTTGTTTTATTTAAATGATTATTAGGGACTAAAAGAAGACATTTTTAGGAAATGTTTGAAAGTATAGTTTTCTCAATAACAATGTAGTTGGTTTTGTATTCTGTACTTAAAATTAATATTTATAAACTCATGATCTAAAAGCTGTGTAAGATTTGTTTCTAAAAACTCTTTTCGGATTCAAATTGCGTAATTGTGAAAACAACATTTTTATCTTTTCAACTTTTTCAAAGTTTGAGTTTGAAACTTTAAAATGTAGAATTATTTAATTTTTTTATAAATATATTATTTCACGTTATAAACTCATTTCATTTTTGTTAAAATTAAAACATGTAAAATATATTTATAAAATAATAATTATACAAAATTTATAATTAAAATGTTAATAAATTAATTAATATTATTTTATATTAAACTAAAATATTTAGTCAGTAACCATTTACAGTATATTAATGTATTGTTTAAAATTGAGATTCAATTTTCAAATCTCCTACCAAATACATATCTAAAAGTTTGGAGTCTCTTGTTTTGAGATCGCCAACCAAACAAACTCTAAATGCTAAAAATTACAAGAGGAAATTATTTTTTTAAAAAATTAGTAAAACAAGATTTCTATTTTCTAGTGAGTCTGAGATGAAACAATGTTTCAGCAAGAACTTTTGGAAAAAAAGAAAAAAAAGGTTTTCTCCAAAAGTAAGTGCTTCTTTTCTATTTTTTTTTTTGTTAAAGTTTTCAAATTATTTTTTGTTATCACAAAAGTTTAAAATATGTTTTTCATGGTTAAAAAACACTTTTTTTGACAAGTCTATCAAATTTTAATTGAACATCAACAATTTTTACAAAATTATTATTTATAAATATTTTTAAATGCATACCAAACACATTCTTCCACAGCCACCAACTGTTTTCAGGTTAAAACTCCAACCTATGCTCTATTTTGAAAGAATTCGAAATCATGACGGATTTCAAATGAATTCCACCGTTTGCTACCGCATGATTTTGAATGATTTATTTTTACATAAAAAATTTTTCAGATCAAAATGGTCGGATTTTACATGATTTCATAGACTTTCGCAGTAAATTACCTGTTTAACCTCGTCATATTTTAATTTATAATTAATACATGTAGACTAAAAACCAAATCAGTAAAATTTTTATTTTCTTTTCATTTCCAGTGAACATCCAAATAAAGAAATCTAATTTAATTCGTTTCAAATCATTCTCGTTTCAAACAAGATAAAAAATTGAAAATCATTTTTCGGATTTCAAATCACGAAATTTAAAAACATTTCTTCAACTTTCTTGAGGCCAAACCAAAGGTAACCTGTGGGGGAATTTTCTGCCATTGGTGTTATGTGAGTCTCAGTTATATTTTGCTCCAAGCATTTGGAAATCATAAGTTTGTTAAATTAGGACCTCGTTACTGTTTCATATTTATGTTTCTTCATTTTTAATAAAGAAAGAATAGAATTGTGGCCTCAACACCTATGAATTCAAGAATGATCAAACAATATTTATGTTTTTGTTTTTGTAACAAATTGGAAACGAAAACAAGAAGTAAGGAACTTGTTTTAATTGTTTCCAAAATTTCTATACAATTTCTAAAATATTTTCAAAAAATGAAACAAGGAACATAATTAGTTGCAAAATGCTTAAGATTCGTATTAAAATTGAAAACGAGAAACAAAAAACAAAAACATTATCAAACGAGCCCTTATATGTTAAATTATAAATTTAGTTTCGATAACTATTTTATTTTTTATTTTTGGTTTTAAAAATGTTAGCTTATAAACACTACTCTTATCTACTACCTTCAATCAAGTTGAAATACCTTAAAAGAAAAAACTTATCTACTTTTTAAAAATGTTTTCAATTTTAAGATAAAATTTTTAAATTAAAAAATAGGTTTTAAAAACTTATTTTTTGTTTTTTAAAATTTGCTCAAAATTCAAATGTATTTATAAGAATGGTAAAAAAAAAAAAAACATACCCAAAAAATTGGGAGTAGGTAGGCATTATTTTTAAAAGCAAAAAACTAAAAATGAAATGGTTATTAAACTTGGTGAACTTTTGTCTATTTAGTTTTTGTATTATAAGTTATTTTTTATTGAATTTTAAAATTTTCAAAAATGGTATCTATTTGATCTAATATTAAAGGTCAGAGCCTCATCCATCATTTTAAATAAAATAAAATAGAGTTTGCCTTATATTGAATTTAAGTTTTTCTTTAATAAAATTATAAGTTGCTTATATGAAAAAAATTAAAAGGAAAAAAAAGAAAAAAAGAAACAATTCACCAGGTTGTATTGTAAAAAAGAAAAAAAGCTACTGGTATAAAAGGACGTTCAAAGGAATTGTGCAAAATCACTTAGAAAGTGAAAAAGATGTATATTTCTTGTTTGTTAATTTTTATAGTAATATTTACAAAGATTCAATGAGCTAACTGTACTCGTATATTTCAAGAAAAGGAAAGGGTCTCAAGATAGTTGAGGAAGAACGTGTTAGTGAGGTAATTATTGGTATATACATGTATTGACATTCTAGAGTTGTATAGTTGTATACATACATGTATTGACTTTCATATTTTGTTAATTCTTGAATTGGTATATACATGTATTGACATAATTGAGTTTCATGGTGATATATACGTGTATTGAATTCTAATTTTGATTTTTCTTTAATTGGTATATACATTTATTGACCTTTTAATTTTGATAAATTTTCTAATGTTTTAAAGGACAACACAAAGTCTAATGAAGAGAATGAAATAGTGAATAATGAATCCACCGATGAACGTAAGAAAAATAACTCATCGTCAAAAGAAGTTTAAGAAATTGAATCTGATGACAATACACGCCCCAAAGATTACAAATTTAAGATTACAAATTGAATCTATTTTCCTAATTGTTTTGATTTATGGGTTGTTATTCTTCAATTTTTTAATTTACTTTTGTTGTAAATGATTTATTAAATGATAAAGAAATAGGAAAACAAGAATACAAATCACTTGTGACAGCATATACTCCTTAGTGGTTAGGTATATATACCAATTGATGCAAATATGTATATATACATTAAGAAGATACAGTAGAACAATTGCAGAACGCTGAGATGAGAGATGAATCGTTGTACACAAATCGTTTAAATTAACTGAAATACAAAACAAAGTAATTAAAATAATTAACTTGAAATCAGGTAGGAAAATCATTTTGAATTCAAAACAAAGTTTGTTACGTGGTTGGATATAAGAAAAAATCAAAAAGACATAGATAAGGGTATTGTCGGAAAATTACGTTCTTTCGTAAAACTCCAAAAATACCCTTTAGCCATTTGTACAAAATTTAAAACTAATAGACATTTTTTAAAACGGGTGGCTAAATAGCCATCCACCCCAATTTCCCTAAAATTTAAAGTAATTGTTATTGGGCTTTGCCTATTTAAACAGCTTCTGGCTGCTTGGTAAACTCATCAAATCATTCTAATAAAATTTCAAAATTTAGATTTGGTGTAATTGTAATTATAGTGTAATTTACCAAAATAAATAAATAAATAAATAAAATTAAAAATATCAGCTAAAAGAAAATATGGAAAATTGAGCAAAATCAAAATATATGCATATCAATTATTAACATTAATTAATATATAAATTAATAAATGATTTATTGAGATTATGGTTAATCAATGTAGGTTATTCAATGATATATGTTGATGCACCAAGTTACTGAAGGTCGACTAAATGGCGACGAGGACGAGCTAGCGAGTTGCAATCTTTAAATAAGAGGAACTTGCAAAAGGAACAAATAAAGTTTTAAGGGTTGTGAGCTACGTTCTCGGAGCAGTTTCTTACCTGAGCAAAGAGGCAAAGTGTCCTTTTCTTAAAGATGAATAAACCACTACTCAGCCCACAAGCTTAAGCTGATGGGTTGGGTGTAAATGTAATTCATTTATATTGGATATCATCTAACACCTTTTTATAGGGTGTGGTGGGAGGGTGTGAGTAGCAGTTCGAACTGTCCCGACCAACGGTTATAACTGTCGGGCCCTCAGGTCAGTTGTCGGGTTTGAGGTCGGAGTTCTCAAGTCGGCTTGAAGAGAACTTAAGCGATTCTGTGATTGAGTTCTGGTCTCTAGCTTGATTCTGAGTGTAGGTTAGTCTCCTTCGTTGACTTAGTGTTGAACAGATTCGACGAAACCGAACTGAGTTGATTGGTCCACGTGTCACATCTTACATTTCCCTCCAACAAAATATATATATATTTTTAAGGCTATAGTGAATCAATACTTAGGTGAACAAATTATTAACATTGATCACCTTTTTTTTTTTTTTTACATTTTTAGGTTATTCATTTATTACTATATATTATTAACGTTCATCAATAATTTATTTGAACTTCTTACTATATTTACAATTTTTTATGTAAAAATGATATATTTTACAGCTACTAGTAGAAAAATACATATTTACACATATTTTTTCTGAAAATGCTGCCCATTAAAATTTTCCCTTTATATTTCATCCTAGGTTTAGTCCTCTAGCTTTAAATTTAGTTCCCATTTGTTTTTTCATAGTTCAAAATATCTCTATCAAGTATCATATATAG